GGGGGGGGGTCATTGAAAGTTTGACAATGTTGACAAGGGGGGGAGGGGAGGAGGTCAAAATTGCTTAAAAATTGTTGAAGTAATTAATGGACGACGCCTGACCTCTTTTGGGAAGTTAGTTGAGGCTCTTAAGTATATTTTAATTTTTAAATACATGTCTCAGGGGCAGGGGCGTATATCCTCCCCCGGCCCGAGGGGTGGCAGCCAAACCCCGCTTCTCCCGTAGACCTTAGTCAATTTTGCAAGTATTGGCTTGTACTTTTTATTCATACATAAGGGGTGGGGGATTCAGATGTTCAGGTGGGCAGTGCCAGTGACGTAGGAAGTTGGCAGGGGCGCGAATCATCCCCGTTGTCCTCTTTTTTTTTTTAAATGGAGGGGCAGCCTTTTCGGCTAATGGCAGAGTTTTTATCGTGGAATGGGGTGGCAAAAATCACTAGCCCTTGACACGCTTTTGGGCTAGTGATTTAGTATCCGATCCAAAGTTTGGGTATAATATTAAACGACTAGAGTCAGTTGTAACTCTGCCCCACTCACTTAAAATAAAATTCATTCATTCAATTTTTGTGGCAACATTTAGGGCAAAGGCTTACAATCTTTTTTTTTTTTTTTCTCCTCTCGACCCTTTGATTAGACTGTCTTCTCTTAAGAGGTGTGAAACAACACCTACAAAAGTTTTGCGCTTTTCAGTAATTATCAATATAATTGTTGCTACCCCAAAAGGTCCCCCAAGATGTGCGATTAACAGGTTAGTAACCGCTGCCTTTGTGTATCTTTTTTTCTTCTTTTTGAACCATGCTAATTTTTAGTTAGAAATAGTGCTGAGACCGTCATTTTCATTTGTGAAGGTAGGTTTCGGCCCACCATCGAATGTGGGGAGTGGTTTGGTGAGGGTAGTGTAAATTTTTGATTTTACGAGAGCCTTTGGGGGTGAAGCGTGTTTTTTAAATGAACTTTATTATTATTATTTATTAAATTAAAAATCAAGTGATGAATTTTGGCGTATACCTGAATTCAGTTTTTCTTTTAAAAAATTTGATCCCGACGGAGACATTTCAGGTGTGTTGTTGTGGGGGTGGGGGGTGGGTGGGTTTGACTGAGCATCTATCAGCGCGTAAATTTGGCATTATGGGACCCAGTCGCATACATCACATGAATCCATGGCCCACAGGTGAAAATTGGAGGCGGGGGGGGGGAGGCTGATGAGTGGGCTAATTTCATGTGCGGTGCAGTGTGGTGCTTTGTACGTGTCGGTAAAATTCTTGGCTATGTCACGTGAATGGTGGACATGTCGTCCATCAATACCAGCTAATATTAATATAATTCATGTATAAATCGTCTGGCTGCTGTTCAATTTGAGCACAAACTAATATAAATCATGTCTAAATTGTCTGGTTGCTGATTAATTTGAACACAGACTAATACAAATCATGACATTGAAAATTAAATTTTACTCGTTTTCGCTGTCTCAGGACAGAAGCGTTAAAAAAAACTCTCCCTGGCACGGTATATGAAACTGACACACACATCACGGAACACTGACACACACATCACGGAACACTGACACACACATCACGGAACACTGACACACACATCACGGAACACTGACAATGTGACACTTGCACATGATTGAAACATAGCACAAAAAGATTGAGTCAGGCAATAAGTCTAGAATTAAGCAGCTTACTGAGGAGTTCGTTGATGTAGACACATCTATTTGTTGTTGTGAGCATATATTAAAGGTATCAAACCTTAAGTACCAAACCTTAAGTATCAAACCTTAGGTATCAAACCTTAAGTATCAAACCTTAAGTATCAAACCTTAAGTATCAAACCTTAAGTATCAAACCTTAAGTATCAAACCTTAAGTATCAAACCTTAAGTATCAAACCTTAAGTATCAAACCTTAAGTATCAAACCTTAGGTATCAAACCTTAAGTATCAAACCTTAAGTATCAAACCTTAAGTATCAACCTTAAATATCAAACCTTAAGTATCAAACCTTAAGTATCAAACCTTAAGTATCAAACCTTAAGTATCAAACCTTAAGTATCAAACTTTAGTGTCAAAACTTAAGTATCAAACCTTAAGTATCAAACCTTAAGTATCAAACCTTAAGTATCAAACCTTAAGTATCAAACCTTAAGTATCAAACCTTAGGTATCAAACCTTAAGTATCAAACCTTAAGTATCAAACCATAAGTATCAAACCTTAAGTATCAACCTTAAGTGTCAAACCTTAAGTATCAAACCTTAAGTATCAAACCTTAAGTATCAAACCTTAAGTATCAAACCTTAAGTATCAAACCTTAAGTATCAAACCTTAAGTATCAAACCTTAGGTATCAACCTTAAGTATCAAACGTTAAGTATCAAACCTTAAGTATCAAACCTTAAGTATCAAACCTTAAGTATCAAACCTTAAGTATCAAACTTTAAGTGTCAAACCTTAAGTATCAAACTTTAAGTATCAAACCTTAAGACACCGATTTTTTAAATATTTTTTATTTTTGTTTGTTCACTGGTGGAAGACCTATAGAAAATTATTTGCGAACCAAGTTTTGAGACTCCGCGACTGAAAGCATTTTATTCTTCATGCATGCGCTCAAAGTGGAAAGTGTGTCCAGAGACTGAGACAAAAGTAACAAATACGCTTGTTCAGTGAGCAAGTTTGTAATACGAGTGTTGACAAAACACAAGAACTATTTTGTAGGATGATTAAAATCAACAGGATTTATCTATCAACATGAGACATGGACATTGCAGGTGAACGCGACAGATCAACATGAACTATCGACACGACGCATCAACACAATGGTTCATAACGACATATCAACATGACAGATCATCAATGCGACCTATTACAATGACACAAAAAACGACAGATCACAACGTCACATCATCACGACGCATAAACACGATACATCAACACGACACATCAAACGATTGGTAAGAAGGACACATCAACACTACACATCAACACGATAGGTCACAAGGACACATTAACACGACACATTAACACGATTGGTCACAAGGACGCATCAACACGACACATCATCACGATTAGTCACAAGGACACATTAACACGATTGGTCACAAGGACACATCAACACGCACATCAACACGATTGGTCAAAAGGACGCATCATGACGACACATCAAACGATTGGTAAGAAGGACACATCAACACTACACATCAACACGATAGGTCACAAGGACACATTAACACGACACATTAACACGATTGGTCACAAGGACGCATCAACACGACACACCATCACGATTATTCACAAGGACAAATTAACACGATTGGTCACAAGGACACATCAACACGCACATCAACACGATTGGTCAAAAGGACGCATCATGACGACACATCATCACGAGTGGTCACAAGGACACATTAACACGACACATCAACACGATTGGTCACAAGGACACATCATCACCACACATCAACACGATTGTTCACAAGGACGCATCAACACATCCCATCAACACGATTGGTCACAAGGACACATTAACACGACACATCAACACGATTGGTCACAAGGACACAATAACACGACACATCAACACGACACATCAACACGACACATCAACACGACACATCAACACGACACATCAACACGACACATCAACACGACACATCAACACGACACATCAACACGACACATCAACACGACACATCAACACGACACATCAACACGACACATCAACACGACACATCAACACGACACATCAACACGACACATCAACACGACACATCAACACGACACATCAACACGACACATCAACACGATTGGTCACAAGGACACGTCAAGAAGACATGACCTTAGAAAATAATTTTAAAAAATCCACTAGCGCTTGAACTTGAAATAGCAGACGACAGAT